CACCCAACTGAAAGGATGAATTTTGTAAACTACGTGTTGTATATAGTTTGTGTTGTTGCAACCTTTTTGTATATCAGACATCAAATATGGCACCATTCCTTTATGACATGCAGAGGACTCTTTCAATATCGAATCCCTCCCATAAATGTCCTAACCAGCTCACAAGCCACCCACATGGATACAAGTTTCCATCCCTCACGGTTCCATTACTAGGGTCCATACCTCCAAATGGGGAATTTTGTATATACTTCAGTTGTGTTCTTACCCATTCTCTTCCCTGTCCCTCCCCCCTTTGTCATCCCGACAAAACAATCCATGGCTACTCTAGAAAGGGCCCTTTCTTAAAGAACAGCCCATGCATGGGGAAACTCAAAAAACCTCTTGGTCAAGAGCAACTAAATCGCGATGGTGCCGGAGCCCAGGGGCGGGCTGGGACGGGGGGCAGGGAGGCAATTGCCCCCCAGGCCGCCCTATATCCAGGGCTGCCAACTGCCTGCATTCAGCGCTCACGCTGGGCAGGGCCGTCTTTAAGATGCCCCTTGAGCCCATACACATTTAATCAGGGGCCCATGGCCCTTTAATATTGCAGCTGCCGGGCCGCTTCTTATTTTGTTTCCCCCACCCCCCGCAACCCACAACCGGGCCCCAGACATTTTGTACGCCAGTTCCTGCTCTCCGCGGCCCATTTTGATCCGCTCTTCCCCCGCGGCCTGCTGGGAGGGAGGGAGTTTACATCACTTCCTCCTGAGTCCCAGCTGACAGGGCGGCATGTGGGGAGGAGGAGGCGGCGGCAACACAAACCAACTGCTGCACACGTGGAGGAGGGAAGGGACTCCCATCATCCGAGGACAGCCAGCTCCCACTGGATTTCAGCATATCAATCCTGCTGCATCAAAAGTGAGTAAATAGGAGGGTGGAGAAAATATGTAAATTGTTATTTATATATGTTTGTGTCTGTGTGTGTACATGAGGTTGTGCATATGTTTGTGTATGTCAGTGTGTATGAGTACCTGTGTGTAATTGTATGTGTACTTGTGTGTCAGTGAGTACGTATGTGTATCTGTGTGTATGTGTACCTATGTGTGTGTGTACGTGTGTGTGTGTGTGTGTGTGTGTGCGCATGTATGTGTGTACCTGTGTGTACAGGGTGGTGCAGTAGACATTGCTTACCTAGATTTCAGTAAGGCTTTTGACACTGTTGCACATAGAAGGCTTATCAATAAACTGCAATCTTTAAGCTTGGATTCAAATATTGTTGAATGGGTAAGGCAGTGGCTGAGTAACAGGCAACAGAGGGTTGTAGTTAATGGAATATATTCGAAGCTTGGACTTGTCACCAGTGGGGTACCTCAGGGATCTGTACTTTGACCCATTCTCTTTAATATTTTTATTAGTGATATTACAGAAGGTCTTGATGGTAAGGTATGTCTTTTTGCTGATGATACTAAGATATGTAACAGGGTTGATGTTCCAGGAGGGATAAGCCAAATGACAAATGATTTAGGTAAACTAGAAAAATGGTCAGAATTGTGGCAACTGACATTTAATGTGGATAAGTGCAAGATAATGCATCTTGGACGTAAAAACCACAGGGCAGAGTACAGAATATTTGTTAGAGTTCTAACCTCAACATATGAGGAAAGGGATTTAGGGGTGATTATTTCTGATGACTTAAAGGTAGGCAGACAATGTAATAGAGCAGCAGGAAATGCTAGCAGAATGCTTGGTTGTATAGGGAGAGGTATTAGCAGTAGAAAGAGGGTGCTCATGCCATTGTACAGAACACTGGTGAGACCTCACTTGGAGTATTGTACACAGTACTGGAGACCGTATCTTCAGAAGGATATTGATACCTTAGAGAGGGTTCAGAGAAGGGCTACTAAACTGGTTAATGGATTGCGGGATAAAACTTACCAGGAAAGGTTAAAGCATCTTAACATGTATAGCTTGGAGGAAAGAGAGACAGGGGGGATATGATAGAAACATTTAAATATATAAAGGGAATCAACACAGTAAAGGAGGAGACTATATTTAAAAGAAGAACAACTACCACAACAAGAGGACATAGTCTTAAATTAGAGGGACAAAGGTTTAAAAATAATATCAGGAAGTATTACTTTACTGAGAGGGTAGTGGATGCATGGAATAGCCTTCCAGCTGAAGTGGTAGAGGTTAACACAGTAAAGGAGTTTAAGCATGCGTGGGATAGGCATAAGGCTATCCTAACTATAAGATAAGATTAGGGACTAATGAAAGTATTTAGAAAATTGGGCAGACTAGATGGGCCGAATGGTTCTTATCTGCCGTCACATTCTATGTTTCTATGTTTCTACCTGTGTGTGTGTGTGTACCCATGTGTATGTATGTGTGTGTACCCATGTGTGTGTACCCATGAGTATGTGTGTTTGTGTGTGTGTGTGCATGTATGTGTATACCTGTGTGTGTGTGTGTGTGTGTTCATGTATGTGTATACCTGTGTGTGTGTGTGCATGTATGTGTGTACCTGTGTGTGTGTGTGTGTACCCATGTGTATGTCTGTGTGTGTACCCATGTGTATGTGTGTGTGTACCTGTGTGTGTACCCATGAGTATGTGTGTGTGTGTGTGTACCTGTGTATGCGTATTTGTGTGTGTACCTGTGTATGCGTATTTGTGTGGACAGAGACAGTCATGCTAGGGCCTCACTGTGACTGCGCTGGCAGTCTCCACCTCCCTCCCATGTGTGAACCATTCCAACAGCAACCCTCAGCACCCCCAGCCCAGCAACCCACAAAGCCTCTCCTTCGCCACCCACAAATCCTCCCCTCTGGCACTACCAGCCACCCACAAAGCCTCCCCTCTGGCACCCCCAGAGGGGCTATATAATCCTATGTTTTATATATATATATATATATATATATATATATATGTGTGTGTGTCTGTGTATATATATATATATATATATATATATATATATATATATATAAAGAAAAAAAGCACTGTACCTTGCACTCAAACTCCATGTATCCAAACCGGGTGCACTCCCAGGGCTCCAAATATCCAAATAGCTGAATCAAAGGTTGCACTCACGGATTCTTAAAACATAGCTTTTATTGTGTACTCCTAAAAAAATCGATGTTTCAGTCCTATTCAAGGACTTTCATCAGGATCATAGAAACATAACATAACAATTCAACCATATATAGGATGCAATAAATGACAATAACTCACCACAGGTGCCATGAAACAACCGGCGTCCCGGTCGGGAATGTGCGCATGTGCCGAGTAGCCCCTCCCCCCGGCGTAACGTGTGACGCCGTCGTTGCTGTAGTGACGCGGCCAGCATATACTATATTGAAGCCGGCATCTGAACCAGAACTGTGCAGTGATGCGGAGAGGTTCCGCCCCCAATGTGACATCATGTGTGCGCCGCCATCGTTACCATAGTAACGCGGCTGTGAATGAGAAGCTACAACACATCAATATGGAAACAAACTTATCGAAAAATGATAACCTAGTTGTGAACATCTAGGCTACTATGGAACATTGACATACCAAATATGGTTAAGCCAAGTGTGAATGTGATCTATGTATATTAATAAAGTGCAAATGGGTCATTGAAAGTGCTATCAAAATTATCTCTTAAAGTGCCATATACGTGCATAATATTTAAAGTGCCACAGTGCAAATGTACTCATGTTGTGACCCACTATAATTAATATGAATGTATATATTAAATAACCCCAATGATTAGAGATTAATGTTAATAAATTAGTCAAAAAAGGTATATACATATGGTTATATAAGGCTTTTTTACACGACTTTTTTTCAACTTATTATCTCTTTCTTGTTTCTGCTCATCTGATATTCAACAAATATGTATTTTCAAACAATTGTTACAACAGCACTATTATATTCTACATCAAAGACTGTTGAACACATTTCAAAACAATAACTATTGGTGCTTGCAAAACAAAGATGATTGATTATATAATAAGAGGGCGGTCACAGGATAGTCATGAAAAATGCACATAAAAAACCTAAAATACACACAAATATAAAATCACATATAAAAGAACATTAAGGGGCATTCAGGCCAAAAAAGAATGTAGCGACAAAGCTTCATTTAATCCTTTTGGAGACACAGTGTCCAACTCATGGATCCAATAGGCTTCTCTATTAAGTAGCATCCTCCCCCTATCACCCCCTCTTCTAGGGTTAGGGATGTGGTCAATAGCCACAAATTTCAATGTAGCCAATGGGTGCTTTAGTTCAAAGAAGTGTTTTGCAACCGGTTTATCTGTAAAACCATCCCGATATGCCAGTCTAATAGAAGATCTATGTCCCCTAATTCGTTCGCAGATGGCCGTCTCCGTTTTCCCAATGTAACATAAGCCACACGGACAAGACAGTTTGTATATTACATGTGTCGTCTTGCAAGTAATAGTATATCGAATAGTATATTTTCTATTATTGTGAGGGTGAAAAAAAAGTTCTTGCAGGTGTCATGTGGCTACAGGTCACACAGCCAAGACAGCGAACAGATCCTCTTATTTGTTCCTTCGCTATATTCAAATAGCTTTGGGAGGGATCCGTGTGTACTAGCATATCTTTTAGGTTTCTATTTCTCTTATAACAGATTAATGGCTTTTCTTTAAACACTTTCGGGAGCGTGTCATCACTCGACACGATCCTCCAATTCTTCCTAATGACCGATGCCACTTGAGAAGTAGACTGGTTGTATACCATAGGGAAAACCAAATTGAGAGGTTTCTTCTTTGTTTCAATGGCGCGTGCATTCAATGCTTCTTGTAGCGCTGTTTCCAACATAAATTCGTCATAACCTCTATGAAGAAATTTGTTTTTCATTTCAAGAATCTGGACATCCCTAATTGCTGCTTCCGAATTGTTCCTGATTACTCTTAGGAATTGTGCCTTTGGTAGTGAGTTCTTCAGAGCCCTGGGGTGTGCACTCTGGTAGTGAAGGAGTGTATTCCTATCTGTAGGTTTTGTATAGAGGCATTATTGAAAATGTGTTGCTCCCAATGAAATTTCCAAATCCAAATAATGCACCTTCTCTGTGCTAATATCCGCCGTAAATCTCACTGGGGTTGGTAAAAGATTAAGATCTTGAACCATTTTGTGGGCTGATTCACACGTTCCACTCCATATGATGAACAGGTCGTCAATAAATCTGTAGTACGCTATTATATTACTTTGGTACTTCTCCAATATATGTTCCTTCTCATACACATACATGTATGCATTAGCATACATCGGCGCCATAGATGTGCCCATTGAATTTATGTTGGAAACAGCGCTACAAGAAGCATTGAATGCACGCGCCATTGAAACAAAGAAGAAACCTCTCAATTTGGTTTTCCCTATGGTATACACAGTGATACCACATGATGCTGGGGTAGAAGCTATGCGGCAAGTCCTGATTCAATCTCCTGTCTACCATGGCCCCCCTATAGAATATGTTTTGGAACTACTTTCTCTAACTTTACAGAATAATTACTTTCGTTTTGAAAATAATTGGTATCTACAAGTGGCTGGCACATCAATGGGCGCATCTATGGCGCCGATGTATGCTAATGCATACATGTATGTGTATGAGAAGGAACATATATTGGAGAAGTACCAAAGTAATATAATAGCGTACTACAGATTTATTGACGACCTGTTCATCATATGGAGTGGAACGTGTGAATCAGCCCACAAAATGGTTCAAGATCTTAATCTTTTACCAACCCCAGTAAGATTTACGGCGGATATTAGCACAGAGAAGGTGCATTATTTGGATTTGGAAATTTCATTGGGAGCAACACATTTTCAATATTCCCTCTATACAAAACCTACAGATAGGAATACACTCCTTCACTACCAGAGTGCACACCCCAGGGCTCTGAAGAACTCACTACCAAAGGCACAATTCCTAAGAGTAATCAGGAACAATTCGGAAGCAGCAATTAGGGATGTCCAGATTCTTGAAATGAAAAACAAATTTCTTCAAAGAGGTTATGACGAATTTATGTTGGAAACAGCGCTACAAGAAGCATTGAATGCACGCGCCATTGAAACAAAGAAGAAACCTCTCAATTTGGTCTTCCCTATGGTATACAACCAGTCTACTTCTCAAGTGGCATCGGTCATTAGGAAGAATTGGAGGATCGTGTCGAGTGATGACACGCTCCCGAAAGTGTTTAAAGAAAAGCCATTAATCTGTTATAAGAGAAATAGAAACCTAAAAGATATGCTAGTACATACGGATCCCTCCCAAAGCTATTTGAATATAGCGAAGGAACAAATAAGAGGATCTGTTCGCTGCCTTGGCTGTGTGACCTGTAGCCACATGACACCTGCAAGAACTTTTTTTCACCCTCACAATAATAGAAAATATACTATTCGATATACTATTACTTGCAAGACGACACATGTAATATACAAACTGTCTTGTCCGTGTGGCTTATGTTACATTGGGAAAACGGAGACGGCCATCTGCGAACGAATTAGGGGACATAGATCTTCTATTAGACTGGCATATCGGGATGGTTTTACAGATAAACCGGTTGCAAAACACTTCTTTGAACTAAAGCACCCATTGGCTACATTGAAATTTGTGGCTATTGACCACATCCCTAACCCTAGAAGAGGGGGTGATAGGGGGAGGATGCTACTTAATAGAGAAGCCTATTGGATCCATGAGTTGGACACTGTGTCTCCAAAAGGATTAAATGAAGCTTTGTCGCTACATTCTTTTTTGGCCTGAATGCCCCTTAATGTTCTTTTATATGTGATTTTATATTTGTGTGTATTTTAGGTTTTTTATGTGCATTTTTCATGACTATCCTGTGACCGCCCTCTTATTATATAATCAATCATCTTTGTTTTGCAAGCACCAATAGTTATTGTTTTGAAATGTGTTCAACAGTCTTTGATGTAGAATATAATAGTGCTGTTGTAACAATTGTTTGAAAATACATATTTGTTGAATATCAGATGAGCAGAAACAAGAAAGAGATAATAAGTTGAAAAAAAGTCGTGTAAAAAAGCCTTATATAACCATATGTATATACCTTTTTTGACTAATTTATTAACATTAATCTCTAATCATTGGGGTTATTTAATATATACATTCATATTAATTATAGTGGGTCACAACATGAGTACATTTGCACTGTGGCACTTTAAATATTATGCACGTATATGGCACTTTAAGAGATAATTTTGATAGCACTTTCAATGACCCATTTGCACTTTATTAATATACATAGATCACATTCACACTTGGCTTAACCATATTTGGTATGTCAATGTTCCATAGTAGCCTAGATGTTCACAACTAGGTTATCATTTTTCGATAAGTTTGTTTCCATATTGATGTGTTGTAGCTTCTCATTCACAGCCGCGTTACTATGGTAACGATGGCGGCGCACACATGATGTCACATTGGGGGCGGAACCTCTCCGCATCACTGCACAGTTCCGGTTCAGATGCCGGCTTCAATATAGTATATGCTGGCCGCGTCACTATAGCAATGGCGGCGTCACACGTTACGCCGGGGGGAGGGGCTACTCGGCACATGCGCACATTCCCGACCGGGACGCCGGTTGTTTCATGGCACCTGTGGTGAGTTATTGTCATTTATTGCATCCTATATATGGTTGAATTGTTATGTTATGTTTCTATGATCCTGATGAAAGTCCTTGAATAGGACTGAAACGTCGATTTTTTTAGGAGTACACAATAAAAGCTATGTTTTAAGAATCCGTGAGTGCAACCTTTGATTCAGCTATATATATATATATAGTGTGTATACATATATGTTTGTGGTTTTTTGTTGTGGGGTGGGGGGGAGGGTTGGACTGATGATGCCATGGGGGAGGGAATCCACAGGGCCCATGCAGATGCTTGCCCAGGGTCCAATCACAACTAAAGACTACAATCACTACTAGGCAGCAATGTAAAAACGGACTTTTCTCTGAAAAGTCAGTGTTTACATTAAAAAGCATGCAGGGACAGGATAAAGGCTCCAAAACAACAGCATTAAATTGTAGTAGTTCTGGTGACTACAGTGTCCCTTAAAAATTGTATTTTTGACGTTGAAAACTTTACTCCTAACTTTTTCAGCTGGATTCTAGATTTCAATTAAATTTGTTAAGCCCTGGTGACGGTGTATGGGATGGTAATGCCATCGATGTATACAAAACGTGCTTGATACATGGATTACACCTATATCTGTTATAAAACCAGGAAAAAGTGGACATGGATGGTGAGCTGATTCGGTGGTGCAATGGGCCAATTGACTGAATTTGCCCCCCAGGCCCAAGGCTGCCAGCCCTCCCCTGCCGGAGCCAATACACAAATTCCAACAGGTTACCAATGCTGCTAAAATAACAATATCCCCAAAATATGAAAATACAATCTCATAATGTACAGGGGCTGAATACCCCACACAAAAGGCAGGTCCTTCTAGAAACCATGAAAAAAGAAAATATAGATATCATGTGTTTACACACTAGAATACCATCATTTGGATCTCAAGATTACCCCATCCAATATCACACCACCCATTCCTCCATATCCAGGGGAGTGTCTTTTTTATTTAACAACTCTCTCACATTCAAACTCCTACAACTAAGGAATGACCCTCATGGGCGCTATCTCATAGTACACTGCTTCATCAACATGGTCTGGTATATATTGGTAAGGATACACAGCCCGAACACCAATCAAATAAAGTTTTTGCTTAACGCTCGGTCAGGCGCAACTGATCCAACAGGCACAGCCAATGTTTGTTGTTTTGTCCTACCAAGTGTAAACGTGCATTATGTATGGAACATGCTACTTTTTATTGTAATAAATCCTCAGAAATTGCTTTCGCCAATGTTGTAGAGCAGCGGTTCCCAAAGTGTGGGTCGCAGGGCGATTCCCAGTGGGTCGCGCTGACCCACACATGCAGGGTCACCGGAGACTCGGGAGTCAGACTGATGCCCTGTATGCCGCCGGGTTCCCTCCAATTAGTCTGCCCAGCACCTCCGGTCTGCAGCTCCGCCGGGTGCAAAGCTACAGACCGTGTGATAGAAATCTCGGGAGCACCCAGAGCGTTACCATGGCAACACTCTGGGAGCTTGCAAAACTTTAATTACACTGTTTGCAGCTCTGCACCCGGCGGAGATGCAGACCGGAGACCCACCGGGCCACCAGGGAGACACTGGACCACCAGGGAATTTATTACATGTAGCACACAGCCCCCAGACCCTGCCCCCCCATGTAACCCCTTCACTCCCTGCCCCCCCCCATGCCCCCCTTCACACCTCCCCCACTTAGCCCTTCCTCCCCCCCCACTGTAACCCCTCCTCTCCTGCCCCCACAATTCTGCAACCCCTTCACTGACTGCCCCCTTAACTCCCCATTCTCCGCCCCTCCCCCATAGTGTAACCCCCTTCACTCCCTGCCCCCCCCACTGTAACCCCTCTTCCACCCCCCCCTGTATCCTTCACTCCCCGCCCCTCCCCCTGTATCCTCTCTCCCTGCCCCCCACTGTAGCCTTTTCTCCCCCTGCTCCCCCACTGTAACCCTTTTTCTCCCTGCCTGCCCACTGTAAACCCTTTCTCCCCCCGCTCTCACACTGCCTCCCACACTGTTACCAGCACACACACTCCCTTCCACACTGTCACTCTCACCTCTCCCACACACTGTCACCTCACCTCCTGTCTCTGCGTGTATGTGTATCTGTGTGTCCTTTTGTATCAGTGTGTGTGTATTTGTGTGTCTGTGTGTATTGTGTGTAAGTGTGTATCTGTGTACATGAGTGTCTGTGTATCTCTGTGTGGGAAACTAGGTGTCATTGTGTGTCTGTGTGTATCACTGTGTCAGTGTGTTTATTTGTGTGTGTCTCTGTACGTGTGTGTGTGTGTATGTGTATACACTGCACATATACTCCATTCAAAAAACATGCTTACATTCAAACACACATTGTGTATATGTATATTTTATAAACACAATATACACACACTGCATCCACTACACACACACACACACTGCATCCACTACACACACACTGCAATCAAAAGCAAACATTACATACAAACACACCCCTGCATTAAATCACTAAAATTATCTACAAACACCCCTTCATTCAAACACCAACACTACACACAAAAAGCACACCATACAAACACCCATGCATTCAGACTCAAACATTGCAAACAAGTACACCACTACCTTCCAATGTCAACAGTATATACAAATACATCCATACATGCACACATATACTTAATACAAAAACATGC